AATCTTAATCTCAAAATTTGTACCTCTCTCTCAACTAAATTACTTATCCAGGCAAACCCCAAATCGCATTTTACATCATGTAATAGAGCAATCCGTATTGTTTTAAGAACAATGGTGCCCAAATTTGCTTTTAAGACGAGCTGCCCAAATTTCCAAAACTTGGGAGCTTGAAAAAAAACTTTAAAATACCAAAAATGGCAAAAATGTCATGACTACCTTACCAAAAAATTTTTTTTTAATTTTCATAGTAATCCTTCAGTAAATGGAAACTGATTACTGTACCATGATGACAGACCTCCATCAAACATTCAAAAAGGCTGACATTTTCCTGAAGTAATTGCTTTCTATGTAATAGAAATGTTAAATGAACAGTTACCTATGTACCCCTTTTTAATATTGTAAAAATGTAAAAAATTTCACACAATACCACACAACACAAAAATAAAAGGGGAGGAGCTTTTGCACACCCCCTCACTATATTGGAAAGCTTGGGACTTTTCAGTCTTATCATTGAAAATATTCGAATGACTTCTTTGGGTATACGACTTTATGTCTGACTGATTACCTTATCCGAGAGAAATACAAAATACTTTTAGTATCAAGTGAACACAAAGTTCTGCCAAAGTACTTTTAAGTATATAGCTAGGATTAAAATGATGACTATGGGTGGTATAGTTAATAAACGTAATGCCTCCACTCCAAGTCCTCACAAAATAAGCTGAACATAAAAATATTTACTTTAATGACAAATTAAAAGTGCATATGTTTTTCTGATATTCATTTTCTGGGAACTTTGGCCTTTTTCCTAATTCTTCCTTATACTAAATCTGAGTTTTAAGCCCAAAGTGAAAAAAGAGGCTGCAACAGATACAAAGGAACTGTATACTTTTATATTTTAAACTTTCTAATACCTTGCTACTGTATTAAGAGCTGCAAAATAATTATTATTGTTCACAAAGCCTGAAGGTCTTGTATGTTTTAGGTAAGTATTATTTAGTAAATAAATCATATACAGTAGTAAGAGAAAATTAGCTGCCAAATCACATTGATGGTTAACATAATTATAGTCACTATACAGGATCTGACAAATTCAAACGGCAGAATACTATATATAAAAAATTAGTACTGTATTGCATGGTATAACTTTTAAAACCTAAAAACAGAAAAGGAATTACACCTGTATCTTTTTTAAAGCTTACAATTTATTATTCATTAATTAATTAATATAAGCCAGAACTTTTAAATCAGGCTTCCAGTATTGCTATGTTGTCTAATGCATGATGATAAACATTATAGTACTTAAGTTATACGTTTACAATCTATAGTATAACTCCACAAGATTCACACACAGATATTTAGCCAGCTGATTTTGTTTTCCTACAAATGAATCATTCCCTTTATAAAGTGTCCAGCACTTGCAAAATGTCTCCAACAGCACTTAGTTTATAATTACTCAGCCTTGGTAATCTGTGTTCACTGGTAAGCGTAATGTGCGAAGTATTAGGTAATGGAGCACCAGGAGGGTCCTTACTTCTAGGCTCAGGTAAAAACACACCTTAGCAGATCTACTCAAATTTACATATGTAATATAATGAAAACTTCCCACCAAAAATAATATCTGTTCCAAACTATCAACATTCTGGAAAAGTCTCTGGAAAACAAATTACAATTTTTTTTTTAATTTGAAGAACCATTGCAGAAAACATCTGATATGGTTGCCACACTGTAAGCTCAACACTTAATGTTACCTACATTTGTTTATCTACAAACATTGTGCTTTTCTGAAAAAAAAGTTTATCTGAATTTCTCTACCCAATTCCAGATCATTAGCAAACACTAAACACACAACAGCAAGGATAACGCATCCACGCACTGCTGTGCAACTGCCTTTAGTTTGAATGTAATCCTTCCTTCCTTCATGGTTATTAGTACAGCTTTCCTTATATGAAGCAATATTTCTTCAGCTCTGGATAATATCATTTGTAACATTCTGACAATAACCTACCCCATGTAAATTGCAATAATGTGTAACCATTAGAGGGATACGTTTTCCTCAGACCAAGACAAATGAGCTACTGAAACTCGAACATCTATATTCTAAAGCTTATAATAAAATACTCTTTTTTTTTTTTCATGGTCTATCTTGGGGTTGTAAAACTGTGAAGCTCACATGCACACATCAAACTGCCTCAAAATATGCCCACCCATGACAGTACTCATAGTCCACAGCCTTGAGATGCATGTGCAAGCTTAAACAGTTGCTTCAAGTACCTATGAAGTTATATATAAACCCTCAGATAGTGTAAACAGAAATTTTAATATCGGTATCTTTAAAGACATCAGTCAGGATCTCCCTCACGCGATCCCATACCAGAGCATCGAGTCCACATCCAATGCGAGGCATGGCTATAGCTGCTACACTGTGCTGTAGGGAGTGGCGCTTCATAGCTTGTAGAGATGAACGTAGACTTAAATAGGTTGGTTTGTGCCAATACCTTTCCTGAAAAATTCCATAATTACTAGTTTTTCACTTAATTCAGATACTAGATGGTGAAAATCTGGTACAGTGTATATGAAATGGAAAAGTTGTGGATGAAAGACACATGAGTAAACACTTGGGACATTTCATTATGTAAATGTTTTTGCTCCTTGTTCATTCCAAGTAGAATTATTGTACATTAGGAGTGAACACAATCCTAGGACCAAAACACTTTCATATTAAAATGCCCTAGGTATCTGCTAATGAGATCTTTATCTTCAAATACTAAACACTACATACAATTAAACCTCTCATAATGCAGGATTACGTTCCTGAAGATTGGTGCCTTATGAAAAATAGCTAAATACGAGTGAAGAACATAAGGGACAACTTGGGTTATGTTCCATACCCCTCAAAATTTGCCAATCAATTTTTTTTTTTCACTTTTCTACTAGGTAAAAGTTACTACAGTGTAACTTGCCACACATTCTATCAGTTGTTACTTGAAGCATTTGAAGAGTGTGACGAGGGTTAGTGCTGGGCCTACTGGGCTGAGTTGGATGAAGCAAGGTTTATCAACTGACACACACTCAGCAAGAAAGTAAAAATAAAAGCCACATTTCTTTATCAAACTGTATCAAACATAGTAGGGACTCAGTGAGAAAGACACTATGATTGCAGTGAAACCTTTCTTACTATGTTTCATCCATGACTGGACTTCATCAAGTATGATAAATATACAGGGACTCAATACATCTATATCAAACAAACATATACTGAAGATAAATGCATCTGATTAAACCAAAAAGATGAAAAAAAAAAATTGTAAAATTTATGTATGAGGGGCCAATAATGTGTATAGCAGAAGAGAAAAATAAGACCACATGCTTTGGCCAAACCAAAGCTAGAGTCAACAGGGAAATATCACGCCTCCACCTCCTCTCTCAAAACAATACTTTTTTTTTTTTTAATACACCTGCCATCTCCCACCAAAGAAGGGTGACCCAATAAAGAAGAACGACTTTCATCATTCACTGTCTTGCCAAAGACACACTGATAATACAGTTCAGATGCCCCTCGAAACTGCAAATATCACCACCTCTCCTTCAGAGTGCAGATACTATGTTCATAATATAACAGGGGCATCTTATTTAAACTCTTATTCACTCTTCCTTTTCAATCAATAACATATTCAACAACTACAAAAATACAGCTGGGATAAATACATGCATCACTGTTAGAAGCATGGGAATAAGTAATTAGTGTAATTATGATAATGTCCAATACTTTGTAGATTCTTGAAATTAAGGCACTGAACAGCCACTTCAAACTTTTTATACAGGTGTTGTATATAAATTAAGCATTTGTAAGCTATATAAATTTTGGAAGACATGTGTTATATAAGAATAATGCTGTGTAGTGTATATCACTTGTTCTCACTTAGCAAGAACAGGTGGAGGCTGGGGAATGCTCCTAATGGCCTGGTGAGCAGACTGAAAATCTAGTGTGTGCTACCCAAATTTCTTTTTAGATTTATAATTGTAGTGTAGGCATGCCTCTAGCAAGAGTGATGGAGTGAATGATGATGAAAGTGTTTTCTTCTTTTCTGGGTAACCCTGCCTTGGGAAATGGCCAAAGTGTTAGAAAAAAGAGAGTTACATGAATTTCTCATGCTACAAAATCTTAGTTTCACATTTTCAATTGTGTTTAAACAAAACAGCACAATGTGAGATTATGGTTTAAGAGGGCTTACTGTCAATATTGCACATAAATACAGGCTCAAATTTCAAAGCAAGTGCCATGAGACATTTTACACATTCACAAAGTGTGTTGAAAAGACCGCAAAATATTACCGAATCCAAATTCATCTACAGTGGAACCTCTACTTGCGAGTTTAATCCGTTCCATTACCTTGCTCGCGACTGGATTTGCTCATTTGCAGAGTCAATTTTTCTCATTCAAATTAACTGAAATGCAATTAATCCATTCCAGTGGAATTCTGTACTTCAATAATTTCGCTATGAACTTTACGGCTTATTTATCTATATAACTTGATCTAATATGACATAATAAACAATATAAATAACATAGAACCTGATTTATACTTTAAAATGAATAAAATATGTAATTCATGTAGTGGTATGGGCGGTGTCGGCGGTGGACGACAGTTTGTCTGGAGACCGGACAAAATACTTCCTGAATAATTTCACTAATATCATGTATAAGGCTTATTTATCAATCACAGTTCATCTAATACGACATAACAAACAATATAAATAACATAGAACCCTGATATACTCTAGAATGAATAAAATTTGTCATTATATATGTGGCGGCGGCGGCGGCCGATGAGTGTTTGGAGACAGGACAAAATACTCCTCGAATATTTCGCTATCATCAACACTACGGCTTATTTATCTATCACAGTTCATCTAATATGACATAACAAACAATATAAATAACATAGAAACCTGATATATACTCTAGAATGAATAAAATATGTCATTAAATGAGAGTGTATAAATCTGTAGGGGAAGGAAGGCGGGGTAGGGGTCGTCCTCGAAAAGGTTGGAGGGAGGGGGTAAAGGAGGTTTTGTGGGCGAGGGGCTTGGACTTCCAGCGGGCGTGCGTGAGCGTGTTTGATAGGAGTGAGTGGAGACGGATGGTATTTGGGACCTGACGATTTGTTGGAGAGTGAGTAGGGTGATATTTGGTGAAGGGATTCAGGGAAACCGGTTATTTTTATATAGCCGGACTTGAGTCCTGGAAATGGGAAGTACAATGCCTGCACTCTAAAGGAGGGGTTTGGGATGTTGGCAGTCTGGAGGGATATGTTGTGTATCTTTATAGGTATATGCTTCTAAGCTGTTGTGTTCTGAGCACCTCTGCAAAAACAGTGATTACGTGTGAGTGAGGTGAAAGTGTTGAATGATGATGAAAGCATTTTCTTTTTGGGGATTTTCTTTCTTTTTTGGTCACCCTGCTCGGTGGAGATGGCCGACTTGTTAAAAAAAAAAAAAAAGTGTGGCAGTGGCAGTGGCCAACGAGAATTTGTATGGAGACAGGACAAAATACTCCTTGAATATTTTGCTATCAACTCTACGGCTTATTTATCTATCACAGTTCATCTAATATGAAATAATATACACTATAAATAACATAAAAACCTGATATATACTCTAGAATGAATAAAATATGTCATTATGTAACAGGTGGAGGCAGCCACAACTGCTCCCTCTTTGTTGTGGTAAACACTGCCATCTAGTGACGGACTTTTGAATTTTTTTTATTATTTTTTATTAACACACTGGCTGATTCCCATCAAGGCAGGGTGGCCCGAAAAAGAAAAACTTTCACCATCATTCACTCCATCACTGTCTTGCCAGAAGGGTGCTTTACACTACAGTTTTTAAACTGCAACTTTAACACCCCTCCTTCAAAGTGCAGGCACTGTACTTCCCATCTCCAGGACTCAAGTCCGGCCTGCCGGTTTCCCTGAATCCCTTCATAAATGTTACTTTGCTCACACTCCAACAGCACGTCAAGTATTAAAAACCATTTGTCTCCATTCACTCCTATCAAACACGCTCACGCATGCCTGCTGGAAGTCCAAGCCCCTCGCACACAAAACCTCCTTTACCCCCTCCCTCCAACCTTTCCTAGGCCGGCCCTTACCCCGCCTTCCTTCCACTACAGATTGATACACTCTTGAAGTCATTCTGTTTCGTTCTATTCTCTCTACATGTCCGAACCACCTCAACAACACTTCCTCAGCCCTCTGGACAACAGTTTTGGCAATCCCGCACCTCCTCCTAACTTCCAAACTATGAATTCTCTGCATCATATTCACACTGCACATTGCCCTCAGACATGACATCTCCACTGCCTCCAGCCTTCTCCTCGCTGCAACATTCATCACCCATGCTTCACACCCATATAAGAGCATTGGTAAAACTATACTCTCATACATTTCCCTCTTTGCCTCCAAGGACAAAGTTCTCTGTCTCCACAGACTCCTAAGTGCACCACTCACCCTTTTCCCCTTATCAATTCTATGATTCACCTCATCTTTCATAGACCCATCCGCTGACACGTCCACTCTCAAATATCTGAATACATTCACCTCCTCCATACACTCTCCCTCCAATTCTGATATCCAATCTTCATCACCTAATCTTTTTGTTATCCTCATAACCTTACTCTTTCCTGTATTCACTTTTAATTTTTTTCTTTACATACCCTACCAAATTCATCCACCAACCTCTGCAACTTCTCTTCAGAATCTCCCAAGACACAGTGTCATCAGCAAAGAGCAACTGTGACAACTCCCACTTTATGTGTGATTCTTTATCTTTAACTCACGCCCTTGCAAGACCATCGCATTTACTTCTCTTACAAACCCCATCTATAAATATATTAAACACCCACAGTGACATCACACTCCTTGTTTTAAGGCCTACTTTTACTGGGAAATAATTTCCCCTGTTCCTACATACTCTAACTTGAGCCTCACTATCCCCATAAAAATTCTTTCACTGCTTTCAGTAACCTACCTCCTACACCATACACCTGCAACATCTGCCACATTGCCCCCCTATCCACCCTGTCATATGCCTTTTCCAAATCCATAAATGCCACAAAACCTCTTTAGCCTTATCTAAATACTGTTCACTTATATGTTTCACTGTAAACACCTAGTCTACACACCCCCTACCTTTCCTAAAGCCTCCTTGTTCGTCTGCTATCCTATTCTCCATCTTACTCTTAATTCTTTCAATAATAACTCTACCATACACTTTACCAGGTATATTCAACAGACTTATCCCCCTACAAGGGGGTGAGCGGTGCACTTGGGAGTCTGTGGAGACAAAGAACTTTGTCCTTGGAGGCAAAGAGGGGAATGTATGAGAGTATAGTTTTACCAACGCTCTTATATGGGTGTGAAGCATGGGTGATGAATGTTGCAGCGAGGAGAAGGCTGGAGGCAGTGGACATGTCATGTCTGAGGGCAATGTGTGGTG